GGGGGGGGGGGGGGGGGGGGGGGGGGGGAAGAAAGACGTTACACGGCGATCCTTTCCGAATATTCCTGGATTCAAGTTAATCGAGACGAGAGCTCGTTTTCGCCGTAGTGCTGGTCCAGCCTCGTTCTTGTCTTAATTCTGGAAATAGCGGTGGCCCTCTTCTTCCTCCTCCTCCTTCTCCTCCACCTTCTCCACCTCCTCCTCCTCTTTCTCCACCATATCTCTTAGCTCTCGCTGCTGATGCTGCTGCTGCTGCTGTTGTTGTTGCTGCTGCTGTTGCTGATGTTGTTGCTGATGCTGATGCTTCGCCAACGACGACTTTAGCCTACAAATAATGGGGGAAAGGTCGGGTTGTCGTGCAATGCTCGGCAATAAATGAATGATACACCAACGATCTGTACAAACGAACGCACTTCATTTAAATAGTCAAGACTCTTTTACAAGAAATATTACAATTACACTTATTACAACGAGAGACAGCAGATGCGTGCCCGTAGGCAGCGCCGCAACACTCATTTCTTTACTTCCTTGCCCCTTTTTCATGCCACCTCGGGATTTGCTCCAATTCCGCACGAGACGGGATTGCAGTCGAGGGGAAAGGAACAACGGACCTGAACGGTGACACGAGCTGGTGTGGACAGTTTGTTTCTTGCTAATTATTATACACGCTCATCGTTATTTAGGACTAGTTCGCTCGGTCGCTCGCTCGTTCGCGCGCGCACTCACACTCGAAAGTATGCAGACAGGCGGACAGACAGGCGGGCAGGCGGACGAACAAACAGGCAGGCAGGTAGACAAACGGACAGGCCCTCGACATCCAGAGACGTACGATGGCGGCTGTGCGGGGGGGGGGTGTAGGAGCCGTGCCAGTCCCGCTGTCCTTGGGAGTGCGACCTTCCGGAGGTAGGTCAGCGGTCGTGCTTGGTGAGCTCGAGGGGTTGCTGCTCGAGCCACCGCTCGCGCCATCCTCCCGGCGAGTCCTGCACCTGAATCTCTTCGTCGTCCTCATCGTCGTCGGTGGGCTCCGGAACTGCTGCCGGCGACTCCTCCGCGAGCAGCTGGCTGATGGCGCGGAAGGCGCTCGGCTTCTGGGGGCGCTCGACCGCGCGAAATGCACTCTTCTCGCCGCTCCCGAGGCCGGCCAATCTTCCGGCAGCCCCCGAGTGCGCGGACGGGCCGACGGCACTCGCCCCGGGGTTACCGGACCCCGGGTGCGGGGGCGGTGACCGCTTCAGGAGGTTCATGCGTTGGTGACGCCGCCACTTGGCCCGTCTGTTGGAAAACCAGACCTAAGAGTCACGACGTTAGCTCTCGTTATAAGACGCAGACACACAGTGAGGTTCGGGTCTCCTCGTTGCTTTCGCTTTCGTCGGGTCGTGATGATGATGAAGGGAGCGGTTTATGAGAGGGGGAGGGAAGGGGTTTGGTCGTTAGTAGCGGTGGTGTGGCAAGGGGAGCGATTTCTTAGAGCGGACGTCGATGCCTGCATTGGGACGTTACGCCTATGTCACGAGGTGGATCTGACAGCCGGGGGCCGCAGGGATGGCGGCGACGATGTCGACGGGGCGAGGGGCTGCGACTTGACCCCGTCTCGGGTTCCGCACTCGTACGACTGCGATGCCGCGCTCCTGCGATCCTCGGGGCCAATGTCTTTATGGGACTCGCGTGAATAAAGTTGATGTGGCTGATGGCCCGATTTGCGCCGAGAGTCGGATTTTTTCACCAGGCTTAGTCATTCGAAGGATGCGTTACATCGCCAGCGTGGGAGTCATTATTGCTTATAACTGACATTGCTTTCAGCCTGAATTGTAAGTCGGAAAGCGTCGGAACCGCAAATCACCGTCGAATCTTTTTAGGAACCGCGAAGAGTTTTTAAGGATGCAGTCACGATACGATAAAGCTAAACCGTGAGCTACATTGACCTCTGGCACGTATTGTCGAAGGAAGGGATTTTAATTTCCTTGCGTAAATTGTACTATATCGGCACAAATTCTGCTTGTCGTCTCGTCGTCGGGATCCGCGTTTTGGCCCAAAAGATAAAACGTAAAGTGAACAAAAAAATTGAAAAAAAACGGAAATAAGAAAACTGCATCGATACATCAATAGTCATTGTCCGTTCCTCTTCTAGTAATTGATCCGACCGGCGGGCGAACTTTTTATCCTCGCGTAATAATCTGACAAACGTAACCAATTACGTACTGTCTCAAATTGCGAAAACACTTGAGGAGAAAAACACGGAGAAGAGTAGATAGGCAGCTCAGGACTAACTATTATTGTGTCTCTTGAGTGAACATGAAAATTACTTGTAAACAATCATGAGTAACGCGATGTAAATTATGGCTGCTCACTAATTCAAAATAACCTTGTGTCGTGATAAATTAATCAATTTTTTCGACACGTTTGAATAAAGTACAGCAACGTTATGTTAACGCCTAAAAATTACTACAATGATACGTAAAAAGAATGCTTGCAATTGCTAATGTTCTATTATTAATTGCGTAACACGATACTTTTTCTTAATTTACCATTTATATTATCATTATTATTGTCAAAGTACTATTATATATAATCGGTAATTGCATCAAGCATTTTTTTTTATACTAAGCGAGCATAGTATTCTCTACGTCCGAATGTCATTTACCGTCAGTTTCGAACAATACCTTTCATTACGATTTCACGGTCTAAGAAACAGTGACTAGGTTAACGCGCGTAATAAAGAAGTTGAATATAGAATACCTGAGTGCACGCAAGATGAACGCCATTGCAATCGAAGACTTATTAGAGCAAGTATTTATAAGCTATACATAAAGACAGGCAGGCACACACGTATGCATATGTGTTGGGGGGGGGGGTGAAAATGAAAAAATTTACCCGATTTAGATGGCATTGCCCGTAATTGACTTTTCATATATTATTAATGTCGTTCAAAAATTCATCCTTCAAAAATGCTACCGTACGTCAATCCGGTGGTATAACAAATTTTTTACTTTTGGCTACTCTAGTCCTCGACTTTTTTTCAGAAGCTCTGACGTAATTTTATCGGGCATCCCGATCTTTGAGAAGAAATCTCGTGCTGAGAAATTTAAAGGAATACCGCTCCTTCAAAAGTTGAATTTTAAATTAATCTGTTTTGCTGGCAATAACAGTGGCGAAGATGTGGGTTCTGAATTTTTGAAAAAAGAACCATCGACACTGATGCACACGAAATGACGAAACACAGGTTTCGTTAACTAAGTCGCGTTAAATCGCGAAAATAATATGCAAACGGACTTGCGAAGTAAGTAATAAAAAAAAAAAAACATGAGAATAACCATACCAATTCTCGTGCACATTCGAACGTTTCGCCCGAATGAGAGACGGGAAGAGAGAAAGCGAGAGAGAGAGAGAGAGAGAGAGAGAGAGAGAGAGAGAGAGAGAGAGAAAGGAGGGGCGAGAGACGGCCGGGAAGAGTCTCGTTCGTTATCACGTGGCCGAAAAAGTCTCGAAGAGGAATGATCGCAAGTTAGAAATAGGATACGTTTGCCGCTCGTCTTGTTAAGAATTCGCCCGATTGAGATCGGAAATTTGACAAATGGCGAGCGACTTGTGCATCGTTTGGAAACGAGTCGAAGCTCAGGAAAGGTACATTCCTGGAGCGACCAAGACGACTGGAGACTCATGTCACGAGGAAAAGGAGAAAATGCAGGTAGAGCGAAGGAGGCGATCGGTGTCCGCGACCGGGCCCAACGGGCCGTGCGCAATTTGTTCACGCGTTAATGCATAGTGCTGCTTTGTACTCGAATCGATTCTTGAGCGCCGCTAGAACATTAAAACCACACGCAGGATATACGTTTTCGATTGTCTCGCGTTTCAACCCCAACGGGCGGCTCGATTTTCACTCTAAGAAAGAGACGCGTGAATTTTTGGGCGTTTGGTGGGGTTGGTGGCAGTGGCTATGTGTGGCGAGGGGCGAGGGGGGCGGAGAGACAGGACGAGGGACGGGCCAGGGCTGCTCGTAACGGGGTGGGGCTCTGGGACTTACCTGGACCCTCGCCTCGGACAGCGAGGTCTTGGAGGCAAGGCGCTCGCGCGTCGACACGCACGGGTAGTGCGAGCGCTCAAACTCCTTCTCGAGCTCCTCCAGCTGCTCCGGGCTGAAGGTCGTGCGGTTGCGCCGGAACTTGGGCTGCTCCGAGCCGTCGAGGCTTCCGTCCTCGCCCTCGCCGTCTGCCAACAAACACAGCCGAACTGCTTTTTTCACTCTGCACCTCCAGCGGACCGTTATTCCCTCCGCGGTACCCTGCCCACCCTCCTCCCATCGCTACACCCCTTCGTCCCCCGTCCCCCTTCCGGCTTAACCCCTCCCACCCAATCCTCCAACACCAACCACCCGTATACCTACCCTGCGCCCCCGTCCCCCACCGCAGGCCCCTCTCCGCCCCCACCCCTTCCAATTCCCCTGGCTGCCCAATTTCTCTTTATGTTTTACTTACGTGGCGAACCGAGGCTGCCCCACCGAAAATCTCGCTCCGAAACGAGGACGGATGTTAACGTTTCGCGGTTTTCGTGACTCTGTCCATTTACCAGGAATGAGCAGACGCTCGAGCTCCTCTTTTTTCGCGCTTTCATTCCAAACAATTCCGAGCATCGGCTTGGAATTATAATTTGCTTTTAGAATATGATCATGTTTCTCCTGCATCGGTGCCCCTACCTCCCTTTAGTCAAATTTTCGAATAGCAAATTCGAACGCCCGACACGTAAGATCGTTGGAAAAGAATTTTCTCACACGTCATACTTAATGTTCCCCAAGAACTTTTGCAAAATCGTGCGTTGCTTTTTTAAAAGTAAGAAGCAGGAACAGCTATATGGTTTATTCAGCTAAGATATTAATTCCCAACTGTAATATTGACATTCCTTTGTCAGCAATTGGCCAATTTAGGTATTGAAAGAAACGCGTCCCTAATCTTTTTTCGTAAATCAATAGGCCACGATAAAATTAATTGCATTGCATTTGCATAAATCATTGGATCTTCCAATTCAAAATATAATTTTCATTTTAAGCTGTGTAAGTAATGAGGTCTGTTAAAGGCATCGGACGATTTCATTCCAAAAAATTAAAAATTCCCAAACTCACTACACGTAGAGTATTTAATTATGTGTATCGACGTATGTTAAATAAAATCCCATATGGGAATTACTTTTTCATGTGTGTTTTATTATAAACATTTCGTTATCGACTTTATCAGGAATTAGTTCGTTTATTTTCTTTCGTACGGAGTTTTACGATACCAAACTTTACTTGCTCGAGCATGTTATCGAATTTTTTTCCATTTAATTATTTTAATTTAGATCTTTATTATAATATAGGCCGTTTTATTTTATGTAGAAATATTAAATGATGAAACTAAATTATGGACGACAGGGTCGATGTCATCAATAATCGAAATTTCGTAAATAAATTACAAAAAATAATCGAATGAATTTACAAGTCCCGATGGAAATAATAATTTGATGAATATATTCCAAACCTTTGTAATATTGTTTGATTAACACATCATTATTACTTATACAATTGATGTTTAGAAATTCACTCGTTGCGAGGCTCATCTTCGTATCATTACGTCGAAATTTTTTCTTTAACTAGTACTAATACCCTTGACGTTAAAAAATAATTAAATATTTTATCTTCATGACTCGGGATACTTAAATTTTTCAAAATTAAAATTCACTCGCAAAGTGAGGATTACTTTTTTCGCCAACAATTTCATTTACCTAAATCCGATATTTGCTTGTTAATTAATTAAATCGCTCTTGTTTATACAAATTTCAATTTCCAATAGTCCAATCCGTCACTTTGTACATATCAATCGAAAAAAATAGAGCTCCGTGAGTATGAAAATATGTGTTAAATGTGATAGTATAAAACGCTTGAATTGATTCAATTACTATATCCATTTGAAATCAATATATGTTAAACTTAATTGAGATAACGAGTCTCGAAAATTAAGTGAATACATAATTGATCTTGAATTAACATTTAGATAATAAATAATATATACTTTACAACATTTTATTTAATGATAATTGTTATATAATTGCTTGCGTTTTCGATAAATTTGCGCGCACTTACGCATACACCAATATATAAATATATATATATATATATATATATATATTTTTTATTTTATTGTCAAGTCATCGATTTTATTTGTATATTAATGACTGAATAAATAATAAAAGGCTAATTTATACTGCTAAATCTAGACTACTTTCGTTTACTACGTTTATCTCCAAATATGTCTTCATTTAGACACACGTCATTTTCGTAAAACTAATGAGGTTTCATAATTTTTATATTATCCTTTAGAAGACGTTAAATTGATTTCATACATTACGTTCACTTTAACTATATTATTTGCAACATATAAAGCATTGACACAAACTATATAGAACAATACTCTAAAATAATATTGAAACAGTCTCTCGAACCTTACCTCTACATATATTCATAATTTCATAAGCTTTTTCTCTATGAAAGATTTTTTATTTACATTACTTGTATTTATCATGCATATTATACATCTCAACGAGCCGATCATATTGAAGTTATATTCTTTATTTGAACAACCATGTGAAAGATCGAAATGGTAAAAGTCGTCCACCGTGCATAAATTAAATCGATATTTAACAATAACGATAATTAGAATGATATTTTTATAACGTACCTTTTCAAAATTAAGTTAACGAGTAACGCGATACGCTTATTATCGTATATTAAAACAAAACAAAGAAACAAAAAAACAAAAAAACAAAAAAACAACAAAGTAACAAGTTTCTCTGGCGATTTGTATGTTACTTTGTAAAATATATTTGAATTAGGCTTTAACATTTTTTCAATTCTATTAGTCACGCTTCCAGGTTAAATTTTTTACAGATCGGCACCAAAAGAGATTGAGTACCGAACTAAAAAAAAATGCCTCTTAAATGCCCAATCGGTGACGTAAGTAATTCACACGAGTTAGCTTTTCACGACTTAATTGCATTATTCATAGCTGCTAAGTGCTGTATCTAATTGTGCTTTGTTGGTCGTTCCTTACTTTCACTACCGCTTACTATCCACTTTCAGCACAACATAAAACACGGACACCAACTTTTTTGTCACAGCTTGAACCGAATACCGCGATAATCTCTTATAAATATACTGGCTGAAACTCCCGTGCACCATTTCCTTGAAACTGGGCGATTTGAAAGCGAGTCAACAAAAAGCATTTATTAAACATGGAATTTAAGTACGCTTATCGAATTACGTACAATATCAAAATAATTATGCCTGCTAAGCGGTCTTTCTAACTGGAATGATGGATTTTTTGTTTGCTAATTATGCCTCTGTAACACCACATGCAAATCACAAGTACATTCATCAATCGAACGGTAAAATTACGTTAACGAGATGAAGTCACTCTACGAATTTTCTAATTGCGGATAATTAAGTAGAAATGAAAATATGCGTGTATAATTAGAATTTTTATATCCTTCCATTAGAGCACTGTTCGCATTGACAATGATTTAACATAAGAATTTTGGGCATCGGCCAGTTCTTCCATGAAATCCTGCCTGATAATTTTCAAGTAGCGACGTTACTAAGCATTGAATTGAAAATAAACTTTTGCCAAATGCCCGAATTTCGTATTATAATTAATATTCATTTTTGACACTTTCTGTCGAATCAGCACTTGCCTTCGGAATATTATCTTAATTTTGTCTTATTAACGTAATATAATATCTCAAAAGATATTTAACGCTTAAACGCTTGAATAAAAAAATAACAAGACCGTGTCGTGGAATACTATTTAACATTTGACGTTCGTTTAATGCATTATAACACGCGCGAGAGAGTGCGAAACTTTATTACACTGTACTACGACACCGCCATTCTCGATCATCCACGGAAATGGATCAGTCACAAGCAAACGACTTCCGTCTCTAGGTGCAGCCACTCGTCCAATTCATCGTCAAATGACAAATATACAAAATACGACGACAATTTCGTCCGCGCCCACCAAACTGTTCCTCCCATCCCCTGCCGAAACGTAAGTAAGGAGACTCACCCTGGTGGAGGTATCCGCGTGCGATGGCGTCGACGGCGTGAAGCGCGTGCTCGGGGCTGGCTGCAGCCGCTGCCGCCGCCGCTGCCGCCGCCGCAGCAGCAGCCGCCGCGGCCGCCGCCGAGGGTAAAGGCGGCTGGAGGAGAAGCGCGGAGGCGGGGCCGGCGATACCAGCGGGCAGAGCCCCGGGGAAGAGCCAGGGGTGCGCTGGACCGGGAGCTCCGGGCCAGCCGCCTGGGCCGTGTTGCTGCTGGTGCTGGGCTGCCTGTTGCTGAACCTGGGCAACCTGTTGTTGTTGCTGTTGCTGTTGCTGTTGTTGTTGCTGCTGCTGTTGCTGTTGCTGCTGACCGGAGCCAAAGTACGGGTGAGGGCCCCCGGCGTAGAGGCCGTAGCCCGCGGCTCTGGCGAATTCCGCAGCCGCGCGTTCCGCCGCCCGGTTCCGCAAGATCCTGTTGATGCTACTTACCGACGGCGCCGTCGCGTTACTGCATACACCTGGGCCACACCAACGTTATCGCTTAGTTATTGTGCCGTTGTGTGAACTAGACACGACTCCTAGAATGTACATTAATAGGTGGGGGAGGGGGGTGCATTGCGACGAGATCCGCACCTTTGCTTTATGAATTTACATGCATTTAGGCGCACGTGATGCGATATAAATCGCGCGGTAAGATCTCGATGGGGGAAACTGCTCACACGACTTCTTGAATGTCGAGGGCTTTTAGTTTTTTTTGTATCTACGAGTGTCGCCCCGAGAGATATATTTAGATGTGGATCTGGGCAGAGGTTTAGCAATACCATTATTCAAGTATTAAGTAGGGCCTCGTGTAAAAATTATCGCCTAGAGTTTGCCGAGTATGGTTTCATTAAAACGCGGAGACGAAATTTTGACGAGCAGAATGAGCGACGCACGCGCGCTCGCTTCGATAATGCATTGTTGCGGTAAGTTTGTCATTTGGCTTTGAACGTTGTAATTGTTGACTTGCCTGTGTAATGCTTTATTAATTAATACTGAATAAGAGAGAGAGAGAGAGAGAGAGAGAGAAAGAGAGAGACAGAGAGACAGAGACAGACAGAAAAAGAGAGGGAGGGAGAGAGGGAGAAAGAAAGGTTTTAAATGATTTTAAATGAATTTTGAACTGAAATATTACGCCGATTTAAGTTTGTTGGTCAGTGTCGTTGTACTTCTTACAAGGCAATGAAGATTATTTATTGCCGATTAAAATATTAAATGTACTCTCGCTTCCTCTTCGTCTCAAAACATTTCGCGTTTCAGAAGCTTAAGATATAAAGTTATCTGGAGGATCGTGTACGATGATGCAATGATTTGATATAATATTGCCGGATATATTATCAATTGCATTTTGTCAATAGATTTGATGATACGTTTTATTGTAAATAATGTAGTGCATACACTAAGGCAATGGTTATACCGAACTCAAATGAAAGATAAAAAATAGCAATATCAGGGAAATCTTTAATGTGAAATAATAGTGTTGCGATAATAAGTACTCGCACATGAGGAGCACGATTGGTAGAATATATAATGACAAAATTATGAAAAACGGTATTAAATTTACGACGTCGATATATAGAATTTCCGTGCTATATGAAGCAAATAGCTTAATCAACTCTTGGCTTCATAAATGCGCGCTTCTTATCACAAAAGAGCATCCGTTTTAATAGGCGCGAAAATTCACGAGAGATCAGTTGCGAAGATACAGAAAGGCCAAGCTCGTACTTTAATTCTTATACTTTGCTATGAATTGAACAATGTAATGTCGTACTCGTTAATAATAATGATATTGGCAATATTTGTAATACTCGCTGCGTAAAATATCAACTGACGCTGGTTTGAGAGAGGATAAAATAAACACCAAAAAAAAAATTAAAAAATTAAAAAAATAAGCGCAAATAAGAAACTAGCATTATCGTGATTCAGTTACCAATTTTCAAGCGCTACGACGACCAAAGCCACAATTACAAATTGAAATATGTTAACATTAGTTAATTGCAGCGTTGTTATTTGCCTACCGAACTAATGATGCTGCGCGACCGAGACACGAACAGATCGTAAATTCTAACGTGCATTTTTCTCGATTATTGCTTTTATACGTGTGTACGCGGCACTAAATGCAGTTGGGTATCTCCATTGAATATAGATAATGACGAGCTCGGACGGTTAATTCGTAAAGCGAAATATTTAAGGAAACCGCAAGGTCGGACATATGGACCCTGTCCATTCAAATATCCGTACGTGTTACAGCGCGGTGAGTCGGTATTTCGAGGGCTAATAGACTTTTCTAATAACTTTATTCCAGCGATGTAACCCACTTATCGGTGGGCAAGAGTGGCGCGGCACCGTAGCAACCTCCCTTTGATATTCTAATAAACGACGCAATGCTCGAGATTAATGTCGCGGCGATAAAAAGCCAAGGGTGCCGCATTATACCGAGACATACCTTAAGGAAAAAACATTATTAATGTACGCGTGGAATAAAGGAAGCGCGAGACTCGAGTGAATTAACTGCCTTGCCGCGTTAGGAAACTCGGGGGATCATCGGCTATGGTCGACTACATTCAGTACTCTCTTCCAACGCACTTACCCTCGGATATGAGTCGTTCCCGTATCTCCCAGGCGAATATGGTCGGATTCTCTCTCTTGTACTGCTCGATCTTGGAGACGACGGCGGGCGTCGCTACCTTGGGCTTGCTGCCGCCAATGAGGCCAGGTGGGCGGAGGGTACCTGCGAACAGAGAGAAAGATTGAGGGATGTGAGGGCCGGCGATGCTGGGGGGACAATAGCCGTGCAGCTAATTGGAGCGCGACCCGCTCAGCCGAATTACCCATTCGGGGTGGGCTCTGTGTTTCAAGTGCGTGAGTGCGTGAGTGCGCGCGCCCAGCGAAATTTCTTATTTTTCAAGGTGCGCATAATTTGAGCTTTTGAGCGAGGCTGGGGAAGAGGTAAAGGGCGGCGGCCGAGGTAAGAAAGGAGGAGGCACGTTCGCGATTCCCTTTTTCTCGCTCGTTGGCGGTGCGTGCGCGCTCACGCGTACCGTTATTAATATAAAAATAATGGCGTGTCGCTCGCGAACCGTGGGCAAACTCGCGTGCGCTCTCACGGATCAAGTGCACATGCTAATGGCCGCCCGCCGGCGAAATCTCTCTCCCCACCCCACCCTACCATCTCGCCGGCTTTTGTTTGGGCGCCCATCCTGGCCATTTAATAAAGGAAACCGCACAAATCGGTCAATTATCATGCGCGCGGCTCCCGCGTGAATGCTTGACCTCGCGTGCGCAAAGAGGAGGAGGTTGAGGAGCAGGAGAAGGAGGACGACGACGACGACGAGGAGATGGTGTCGGTGGTGGTGATGGTGATGGTGCTGTTAGCGATGGTGGTGGCGGTGGTGATGGTCATGATGGTGGTGGTGGCGAATGGGGTGCGGTGCGGGGTGGAGGGGGAAAAGAGAATACAGCAGGCCGCGCACGGGGAATCGATTCTCATCGCGAGGCGTTCCGCAACCGAGTCGAGAACGCGCCGGCAACAAAAAATTCCCCTCCTCGGGCCACTGAGGAGCGCTGGTCCTGACCGAGAGGCGAGCCGAGGAAGCCGAGAAGGTGGACAGGGGCCGGGGGCTGCGAAAAACGGGCCCCGCGCACCTTTTTGCGGATGGCCGGCGATCGCGATTACGGCCGCTTTGCGCCTTCATATATCACTGCCTCCTTTATACTCCCGTCCTCGAATCCCCCCCCCCAA